TTGATAATGCGGGGGGCGGGACGGGTTGTTCTTATTTTACTTTAAATTGCTTGTATGTGGTAGCCCTGTAATTCACCCAAAGAAACGCAAAAAGTACGAACTGTAATTTTGGACTTTTTTGCAACAATTCAAGAGATAGAAGAATATTATTTACAATATTAAAAAATATTAGCAATTGTAATCATGTAATAATACTTTCGTATAATTCCAGAAAAAAGTGGTAGTCCTTTTATGACAATAAAATTTAATGATATGGTTCTATGAATTCTACAATATACGGGATCTATTCAGAAAATAACCGAACATTTTGAATTGCGCGCTAATGGAGATATTTAATGATATGCGGTTGGCAGCACTGCGTTGCTCATAACCTCCACTGTAACCACATTAGTCCGGTCAAAATAGACATTTCAAATGACGAAAATTCCGACAGAGCTAAATTTTGGGGGAGACCTTGGGTACACCATCAGAAATAAAGTGTCAAATGTCCCCATCGATCCCATGTGTGCTAAAAAAGTTATTCGGGGTCAAAGGTCAAAATTTGAGGTTTTTTGATTTTTTTTCGAAAACGGTAAGTTTTACCAAAAAAGTAGTTGCGACAAAAATTATGGATCTTAAAATTATCTACAAAAATGTTTCTTATACTTGTTTCCTAAGAATCACCATTCCTGAGATATCGCGATTCTAATAGTTGAAGGAGTCACGTTCTACATGATATGCACACATTTCCACACCACCCGTGAGGTAGTGTACTTTGGCGCGTTTTTTTTAATATGACAGGGATAATAATCTTTTAACTGCATGATGATTATTGATATTGGTTATTGACTTTAACTGTAGTTCTATTTCTTTTGATATTTTAATCTGATTCATAGTCTTCAAAGTCGACTTCAACAGTCATGTCTTCTTCGATTTCTTCTTCTTCTTCTCCTTCTTCTTCCTCTTCTTCTTGCTGGATGTTCATAAATTGTTCAAATGAAGATGAATCAGCTGTCTCTTCATCGAAATCACATGAATCTTCGTCTGTTGTATTCAACTGGACATTTGAGCAAGACTGGCTTTGGCAATTTAGTATACGCTAGAGAACACAGTAACCCTACTCTTCTACAGCCGCATTTAGCACTACAACCTTTTTTGCAATTGTAAAAAATAGTGTTTAGGAGTTTTTCCGGAGCAGGTGGGAGTAAAGTTTGAATCGGTTCCAAAGTATTATATGTTAATTCCCAAACCCAGTCGACTAGATTCAGTTGATTGCCTAGCCATGTCTGAACTTGATAGTATACTCGATACAAGTGTTGATTAGCAGAAGCCGATGTTGGAGGAAGACAAGATAGTTGTACTTGTTTCTTGTTTCGTGTATTTTTTACAAAAGTCTTTACAATTGAGTAGCCAGATGTTATTCAAAGCCATGCGGGTAGAGGGGATTGACTAAGGGACTGAGTTTCTTTTGAGTGTATATTCTCAGAATAGTATAGTTTATACATACATGTAAAAGACACAAATAGGCATTTTTACTTGTATTAAGTGCCTGACTATGTATATACGTGGCATATACAGGGTAGGAAAGTACCGATGGTCTATCTGAAGTTACGTGAGAGCGATAAAGTAAGCCATAGAAATCCATGTGATAGACAAGGATGGGTATAGTGAAGGCGTCTAATAGTCACCGCCCATTTCGTCCTTCCACAAATAAGAAGTGGATCTTATTTGGTCAATATTGGGCATTTTGATAATTTTACACATTTTTGATAATATTTGAACTAATACTGATAGTTTCACTCATCAAATTTTATTTGTACCTACTCATACTAATAGAGGCATATTTTTTCACTCAATCGAGTGGATAGAAATTGATACATTATTGAGTGAAATTGAGTGAAAATAAGTTAAATTTTTCTTACAGTGTAAAGAAAACTAAACCACAAATAAATTTCAAACAACTATGATTTTGTGAAAAGATAGTGTGAGAGTTATTTTCGATTTATTTAGTTGTGTCGTAAATTCTGATTTTTTTTGGACTTTTGGTCTTTTTGTACTTAACTGAAGGTCCGTAATTTTTTTAGGAAGCAAAGAGGTAAATTGTTTTAAATAAGGTTTATTCTCTCACCAGGAATTATCACCCATTCGCTTCCGCAACAATGCAACAATTAATTAAGTGTGAAATCTAGATAACATATTAGGAGCTGTCAAAATAACTTGGTAATAATTGCATTCATTGTTTATATAAGTGACATTCACGTTATAAATAAAATGCAATAAAACACTATATTTATAGAAATTTGGAATTAAATTTAAATTACCTTTAGCGCACGTAAAATTGCAATAGATAATAAAAAATTTATAATTAAAATAAAATATCAAAGTGACCTTCGATCCCTAAATACAATATTTTCCGCCAATAAACTGACTTAATAAAAATAAATTTCACTTATAATGATTTAAACTGACACTTAATTTTACAGACTGCGTAAGTTTCGAGAGTATATTTTTTAAATTAAAAAAGTTGTACAACTTCAAGTCTGACTGATGCTGCCAAAACCACACTTTTTACTACGCGAAATAATGTTACGTTCAAAGGATTAATTTACTGGAATCGTTCTACTAATTTTTAATACAGAAATTAATATCCTATCGGTACTTTTTGAACGTGTAGTTTTTTATAATCGAGTAAACACGGATTTTTTAATGATTTTCAGTAAAAAAATAACGTGTAGGTTTAGTGTATCGCAACCTGACAATTTTAATGCTACTTTATTCGTCGTGGTCAACATAAAAAATAAATTCTCAAAACCATCCAAATTTTTATAAATGTATAGTGGTACATAACAACGACATACGTTATTAATAACATCGTACAGCATGTCCCGGATAATTATGATGGGTCATCGGCAATTAATATGACTAGGAGGCGCGCTGCAACCGATGCACCAGACAAACGAGCCGCAGTTATGACTTGGACGTGACGTAACCAAAATAGGTGGTTAAATAAGGGAGGGTTGTGCAGTGGCGTCAAGAAGTATGTGATTTTTTAATTGTTTTGTGCAAGGAAGATAATCTAGAACACCAAATAAAATAATTGCCATGGTTATTTTTATATACAGTGTGTCCCCAAAATTCATTTTTTTTCCAGTTGAGATTTAAAAAATCGCTGAAACAGGTCAATTATAGTCTGTTTAGAAATGAAAGAGAGTAATAAAAGCTTATTATGTATGCAAATCGTAAATAAATGTAGTACTGGTGCTTATATTCAATATTTTTTATATTATGTATTTTCCGTATAGATGAGGTGTACTTTTAAAAAAACTTTGTGCGATCGGACTGTACTAAATTGTAGCAAGTAGCTAAAATTTAATCCCCACAATCCGTCTTTGTCTATGCCGCTTCAATTTCTCGGTCCATTTCTCTTATAAGTAAACAATATAAAAACAGCATTTCAAAACATGAGGCTACTTTAAGCATCATAACCGGGTTAAGAGGGTTTTTAGTAATTCAAATAAAATTATTCAATATTATTATCAAAATATTTATTTAAATTTAATGAATTGACTTTTATTCCACACAAAAATATATGTATTTTGAAAATTCAAATTATGGTGAGTAAATGTAGTGTTGTATAAATGTACAATAAAGAAAATAAAAAAGTAGGTATATTAAAATTCATCCTCTGAATATTCTGATGAATTATCTTCGTCTCCTAGATTGATAACGATAGGTTCCACAGTAACGTCAATTAAATTATCGAGTTCCCACATTTTCTCCTCTTCTTTTTGTACATGATGTATACATCTTTGCCAGTTATCTGCAGTTACTCGTTCCAAGGAATTTTTTAACAAAATTTTCACGTCATTTAATTTAAACGTCGTATTATTTCGCGCTACATCTTCTTTTAGCTGTGCCCAAACTAATTCGATTGGGTTAAGTTCACAGTGATAAGGTGGTAACCGTAGTACCGTTATTTGGCGATTTGTTGCCATTTCATCGATAACATATTTTTTTCTGATCTTTATTAAGATTGACAAGTGTTAAAAGTTTCTTTTTCACCATATTTGTTTCAAAAGAAATGTTTTTTCCGGATAACCTTTGAATTATATCGGTATCTTGCCATACTTTTGTTACAGTATATCCCTCGTGGACCCAAGTTTCATCTACATAATAAATATTCCTCCCTTCGTCACGGAATTTTCTAATTGATCTTAAGTAGGATCTTCGCCAACAAATAATGTCATCTTTATCGATAAGAACTGACTTCCTGTTCTGCTTTTCTAAGCAAAAATTCAACTCTCGTAAGACGGCCCATAATTTGCTTCTACTGATATTTGGCAAATCGTTGTCCTCTGAAAGTTCACTTAAAATTTTGTTTAGCGTTGGTATTTCTTTTTTAAAATAAAATGAATGTACTTTTCTGCGAATGACATTTTTGAAGAAATCATCTATAACGACTTTTGACCTCCCTGTAGATGATTTTGGGGGATTTACAGTATCTTGTTCATTCTTTGTTTCCTTTAAAAGTCTGTAGATAGTCGATTTTCCAATCCCTGTCGTTTTTGTTAGCATTAGTGTTACCCGATAATTACCTGAAACGAAATATTACCAGGCCCATGGCCGGTTCTTATCTCGGGGTTTTATTACTCTCTTTCATTTCCAAACAGAGTATAGTAAATAGAAATTATTTTTTTTTGCAATATTTTCTATTTTTTATTTTTTAACCAGCCTGTAGACAATCTGCCCCCCATTTTTATGACTGTGGAAACTAATATGTTATTGTAAATAATATTTAGCATCTATAGTGATAAATTCAGCTTGCCGAAACAAAAAGTCGCGAAATGGTAATTTCCCAGCTTATTTTCCTGGCCTCATGAACAATTAGGAATCTTGCATCCGATGTCTAGACATTTATAGTCTTATTCCCTACACGATTCCTTAATATGGATTACAATGACTAAGATACTACTATTTATGACTAAAATACAATCATATACTTACTTTTCTTTTCTTTCCAGGGTTCCTCATATAGAGAAACAGCAGGAAGGAGTCCAAGTAAGTTCGCCAAAAGATTATCCCAAATACTAACACTTTTACAAACAAGCACCAAGCTACAGGGCCCTAATAATCATATTAACCTTTCGAATTTTGCGTAACGTAAATATCGACGTAATTTTAGAGCTTTTCTCCCCAGCATTCCATCTACTTTCTTTCCATATTCAGTGTAAATATTGCCGTACATGTTTATAATCTTAGCTTGCCATGCATATTGTTTTCTTTCAATACCTTTTACGCACTGTTCTTGAAATTGATATCACGCGAGGCACGGCCCAGTTTCGCACATGGCTTACGAAAAAACACCGCAAATTGTATTTGCTAGCTACACTGTTGTTTTGGCGAAAATTTTGGATAAAATATATTATGAACACTAAATAGGAAGAGTGAATCTTAAAGTAATATTTTAAACTTACAAATATTTACGGAGAAACTAGTTCTTTTAAAATCGCCCCACCCACATTACATTTTGAGAACTTCTGTCCATGAGGAACGTAATCATTTATGTGTTTGTCAAATCATGTGTCAATGAAATTATTTAGAACCAGACCTGATTTTTTTTGTTTTACAAGTTAAATCTAACTATAATGTGCCGTACCTAAGGGATTTTAGTTTATTTTTAACTAAAATTTATTAGATGGTTTATTTTTAAACTAAAATAACTGATTTTATGAAGTAGTCTTAAAGTCTTCTTGAAAAATATACTACTTAGATATTTAATTGCTATAAAATACATTTAGTCAAGAACGCAGTCAAGCTAAACGTGTTACAATCTTCCCATCACCATGAGTACAACAAAAGACAATGCTTCACAGGTTTTCATAGCAGACATAACCTCTAAATACAGCATATAAAAAATTAATAAAAAATAAATTGCAATGCACAAATCACAAATATTAAATGTGAAATGGGGAATAGATATTTTGATTTTCTACAAATATACTTTAAATAATATAAAACACCTCACTACTTGAACGATTTTGAAAGTACTGACTCGTTTACCGCAAACCGCAATACTTGTCTCGAAAATCATATGGTAAATTGAACACTGAGATTATAAACTAGATGCGAATATGTATACAGGGTGATTCAGAACTTACCCAAAAATTTTTAAATATACAGGAGACTTACAAATACAATTTTGTAAAAAAAAATTAAAAAGGGCAATTTGAAAATGAAGTGATTTAAAAATACACTTCTGCACAACACTGGAAACTGGTTCACTGTAAAATCTGACCTTACGCAGGGCAAAATATGCAGTCGGCGACCGGCACGGCGGCAAAGTGTAATAAAAAATGAACGGACAACAAATTGAAAGAATTTCTTTCCCAATGAAAGAAATAAATAAAATTTTATATCAGTAAATTCAACTGCTTTTTACATACCTGATGTTACAACTGTTCAAAATTTTGAGCCGGTTTTAGCCAGTTTCTACGAACTATCACAAATGTTGTCTTGCTTCACCATAAATTAAAACGATATCCATCAACTCCGAGTTGCTATAAACGTAAGCCATTTTTGACGCTTGAAAAACTAATGTAAACACTATCGCAACAACGATAATACTAAAATCGGATTTCAATATTCGGAATCGCTTGTGGCCACGTGGGCGAATGATGCTAGAGACTGCAGTAGCCCAGCGATGTAAAGGTTGAAAATACTACAACTTCAATAATTTTTTTCTCGGAAACAATAAGGATTTTACAAATTTTTACGATATAGACTTCATTTTTCATGAAGTATCTATTCCCAAGTTGTGAAGCATCATGTACAGCCAGAATTGTCGAAAACCATTACCGGGTAAGATTAGCCGATAAACATTTTTTTTAGAGTAATTTCTTGAACATATCGTCTAAAAAATGTTTAGTTATTTAACTTCTTCCTATTTTATATAAAAAGTTAAAAATTAAGAGTTCTGTGTAATACCGATAACATGATTCATCCTAGACAATTTATGTTATGCGTAAATATCACAGTGATGTGGGCGGTTCTCAAAAAGTTTTCTTTCTATGCACAATACTCAAAATGACGTTTTAAAATTTGTTTAAATCGCTTTTGCCGAATTTGATTGATGTTCAATCGCTAATTAAAACGGACAACTTAAGACCTTCTTATACAATAAGATTTTAATCTATATTACGCCAAATATTTATGCAGCCCTCTTCATATTATCGAAACACGCGTAAAAATCCCTAAGTACCGCAAAGGACCTCACACGGTGTGATAATATTATTCATGGCTACCTGGACAAATATTGATGGTATTGATTCGATTTGGACGGCAGCATATAATCAAATCAAGGAGGGCGGGAATGTCTTACTAAACACGAGTGTCGTCCTAATTTAACATCGTCAGCGACTAGATAACTAAGAAATATGACAGACTGCTAAGTAAATTTGTAAGGATAATACTGTAATGGACAATGGTATTAGTACATATCCCTAACAGATGTTGAATTTCCAAATCTGACCGGTTAATACTTTTCTGTAGAAAATTCTTATCCAAACATTGACAGAGTGTATATTAAATTTTTAACCAAAACATTCCATTTCCATGTTGTGAAAAAGTAAACTCTGTGTCAGTCTCCACATTTTAATAATCACCATTTCCATTCACCAAATGGGAAACACTTTTATTTATGATTTTAAGAAACAAAATTCTATTAATTTTTGAGTGACTAAATTTCAACGACAAACGGAGAGATTTGGTTAAAAGGAAAATGGCAGTTTGTGCTTTAACAAGCCAAGATTAAAAATACATTTTTGGAAAAAAATATTAATTCAACTAATAAATGCGTAGTATGCGTACATATACCGAGCCCGAGTTAAAAATATATGCATCACAATTTAAAATAAATAAAATCTGACATTTACCATATTGAACTGGAAGATTAAATTCTATAAAAATAAATGGATATTAGAATTTTTTTTTTCAAAAGTCTAAGTATAATTTTGTTTATTGAAATAACTTTTTCCAAAATGAAAATTCGTACACTTAGTGTGTGCTTATTTTGTATCAAGACAAAAAAATATATAGTCCAGTCGGCAGAGGCCGAAAAGTTACTGTTGGTGACATTTTCTTGATAACTCGGAAATAACTACACAGGAATACTTTAAATAATGAGTACAATAACAGGCTAATTTGCTGACAAAGTATTTTATCAGGAAAAAAAGTAATTAACAATTTAATCGTGAAAAAACTTTTTTTAATAGTTTTCTTTAAATAACTCAGCGGGATGACATTATACGAAAAAATGCTTAGGATATGATTTTGTTCGTAATAACAAATGCTACAAAATGGCGGTGGTCCGATTACGAAATTTGCAATAACAAAGCCGTGAGATTGAAAAAACGGTATAAAACGTAAATTTTTTAAAGTTGCTTTAAAAATGTCAGTTATAAACAAAAAGTGATAAAACTTTCGAAAACTATAGTTCAATATATATACAATAATGACGCTAAAGCCGAAAATCAGGAGAGCAAAACTTTTTGTTCTATAAGGTTTTATACATCCATCGGCATATGAAACTCGAAACTTTGCCAAATTTGATTGAAGTTTTGCTGACACTTGAGCACAATTACCTACAAGTAAAAAAAAAATAATTTTCAACGTTTACATCCTAAGCTTCTTAACATTTTGCGCCTGTTAGCCATAGTCGTACTTTATTCAACATAAAACAAAATCGTACGTGTGGGGTAAACCTTTAACTTTTCATTTTCGAGCGCGAGCTCTTCGGCGCTTGTATACTATTAGAAATATGCAACAGTAAATTTAAACAATTGTTTACTTAAAGTTAAAGGTTTACCTCACACGTACGTTTTTGTTTTATGTTATGTTGAATAATGTACGAGTATGGCTAACAGGCGCAAAATGTTAAGTAACTTAGGATTTAAACGATGAAAATATTTTTGTTTTTAAATTGTAGGTAATTGTGCTGGCTAATCTACCGTAATGGAATATTTTATAAATATACATAAATATACGCCCAAAAATTAAAAAAACGGTGACGTATAAAACTAGGGTGAAGTATAAAACCTTACCAAAACTGCAAAAATGAAGATACTTGAATTTTGCAAATTGCTTTTGGTTTCTGCATATTTACACTATGTGTGTACCAAATTTCAAGTGTCACCAAAGCTTCGAACAAATTTGGCAAAGTTTCGAGTTTCAGATTCCGATGAATGTATAATACCTTAAAGAACAAAAAGTTTTGCTCTCCGGATTTTCGGCTTTAGCGTCATTATTGTATACAGGGTGGTCCCAATTTTATGCAGGAAACTTCAAGGGCAGATAGATCTCTTTAAAATAATAGTTGTTTGCCTTATAAACATAGGTCTGGAACGGCCTCGTTTTATAGATACAGGGTGTTGAAGTTGTTAAAAAAATTTAATTTTTTGTTTATATCTCCGGAGTCTATTAACCAATCTCAATAAAATTTAGTACAGATAATGTATGACAGTAGGCCTTGCATTACCTAAAATATTAGCTCTAAAGGTTCAACCAGTGGTGTACAACTGGACAGGATCACCCTCTTTTTATAAAAAACCTACGCCACTGTATTTTTTACAAGTTATTGTAATGGATTTATATTCTAATGCACAAAATACGTAAAATAGATAACTTGCATTTTTCCGTAAATTTCACCGTTCTCAAGTTATTCATACCAATACAATCCCCTTGTGACAGATACTTCTAACCATAATATTACAATAGTATTTATGTTTATGGTTAAAAGTAAGTGCAATTTGTAAGCACTTCAACAAAATTCTTTACACTCGTCGCTTTCATCTTTTTGGATTAAAAACGTCTCGGCAACTCAGGATGAGTAAATCGAAAATTTGAAAAATTCCACATAAAGATGGTAGAAATCCGTACCATTTACAACCTGTGCAAAATTTACTTCCGGAAGATGCAGAGAGACACCTGAATTTTTGTCAGTAGTTGTTAGAGTCACAGCATAATCCAGAATTCTTACTAAAAATAATTTGGATGGAAGAAGCTACGTTCAATCCTCATGAAATTCGAACAAGATCTTTTCAAGACAAATTTTCTGTGAATTTTCGCAATAAAGTTTGTGGACCTTTCTTCTTGCTACCATCCAAATTTCCAATAATTTCTAAACTCTCTAGAAAACCATCTATTGGAATTATTACTTTCAAGCATAAACATAAATATTCTTGTAATATTATGGTTTGAAATGTCTGCCACAAGGGGATTGTATTGGTATGAACTTGAGAACGGCGATCTTAGGGAAAAAATTCTAGTTACCTTTTTTACGTATTTAGTGCATTAGAATATAAATCCGTTACAATATGTTGTAAAAAATACAGTGGCGTAGGTTTTTTTATAAAAAGAGGGCGACCCTTGTCCAGTTGTACACCACTGATTGAACCTCTAGAGCTCGCATTTTGAGAAATGCAAGGCCTACTGTCATGCATTATCTGTACCAAATTTTATTGAGATCGGTTAATAGATTCCGGAGATATAAACAAAAAATCAATTTTTTTTAACAACTTTAACACCCTGTATCTCTAAAACGAGGCCGTTCTAGACCTATATTTATAAGGCAAACACCTATTATTTTAAAGAGATCTATCTACCCTCGAAGTTTCCTGCATAAAATTCGGACCACCCTGTATATATTGAACTATAGTTTTCGAAAGTTTTATCACTTTTTATTTATAATTGACATTTTTACAGCAACTTAAAAAAATTGACGTTTTAAACAGTTTTTTCAATCTCACGCCTTTGTTATTGCAAATTTCGTAATCGGACCACCGCCATTTTGTAGCTATTTTTATTACGAACAAAATCATGTTCTAAGCATTTTTTCGTACAAAGTCATCCCGGTGAGTTATTTAAAGAAAACTACTAAAAATCAATTTTTTCACAATTAAATTGTTAATAACTTATTTTCCTGATAAAATACTTTGTCAGCAAATTAGCCTGTTATTGTACTCATCATTTAAAGTAGGCATGTGTAGTTATTTCCGGGTTATCAAGGTATGACACAGGCCGAACCACTACGAACTGGACTAATATTCGATAATTATTTTCTAGAATTACAATAAAAAAAAACTCATGCCATCTAATGACAGCACCCCATAAATAAAGACCAAGTACAAAAATGGGGTGTGCACCAACTGTTCACATGTTCCCATAAAATGAAGTAATATGTGGCAAAAAACTTGGGCCCGTATTTTTTTATTTTTGTATGAAATTAGTGTCTAACTGACAATTAAAAAAAAATTTAAAATTGATGACTTAAAGCATGTTATAATTGCGTCATCTTTTAACAGGAAGCTCAACTAAAAATCTCATACCCGTATCCTTCTGCGTTTATTTACTAATAGAGTGACAACGAGAAGTTACTTGAATAAAAAATTTTCCGTAACAAAATATCCATATTCCAGTGTAAGTCTAGTACGTTACAGGGTTCATGAGAATTTCGTACAGTTCGAATGGAGATTTTTTAAATAAAATAATAATTTATATAAAAAGTTATTAGCGAAATTGCTTGTACATTTCGAATTAACTTTAATTGTAAAATAGTATTTAGCGACAAAACACTGTTTCTTTTTTTTTTGGGGCCAATTCATGAAAATTAAAGAAATTCCTTGATAATCTCAAGTTTTCCAGATTGGTATATATCCTGATTAAATATAGGCACGAAATTTCGGTCAATGGCATATCAAATTATTTAAAGAAATTAAAAATATTTTTTGAAGTTTAACACCCTGTATCTTTCTAACGAAGCGCCCTAGATAAAAACTTTATAGGAAAGACTCCCCTTTAAATGCACCCAAGAATACGAGGTTTCATTTTTGGTCACTATTTGTGAATCGCCCTGTATATGTAATCTGGTTTTGTGACTACGCATTCCCTATTGGAAAATGTATCCTCGTAAACCCACACTTTATTTATTCATTTACTTCATACTTTTCTTGGCCATTTTCAACCTTTACTATACAAACTTTTTTCTATATGGCTACGTTCCGAATCGATGGGTCATATTTACAATTCTGCAAGATTTTCGATGTGATGTCGCGCTTGGTTCAGCCGACTGTGTCTAAATACTCAATTAACTTGGAAAATTGGCGATTAGTTCGGTCCTCAAATCGGAGCCGTTTACTGTGTGAGTTTTTTAGAACGCGACTGCTGTAGGTTACACTGTAAATAAGACGCAAAAAGTATCTTGTAGAATTTCAAAGACGATATTAAATTGTTAGTTTAGTGAATACATTATATAATTTAGGATAATGCCCAGCAGCTTTGCGTAGCTTTTCACGCATTCAAATAATCATATATGAATAGTTATTCTCCCAAATACAGGGTGATTCAGAACTTATCCAAAAAAATGAATGTACAGGGGACTCTTACAAATACAATTTTGTAAAAAAAATCAGAAAGGGCAGTATGAAAATGATTTAAAAATACACTTCTGTACGGCACTGGAAACTGGTCCACTGTGAAACAACCATTTTTGATATTTGGAAAATTAATATTAACACTATCGTAAAAACGTTAATACTAAATCGGATTTCAGTATTCGGAATCGCGCAATTTGGCATAATGCCTAGTAGCTTTGCATAGCTTTTCTCGCATTCAAATAATCATATATGGATAGTTATTATTCTCGCATATACAGGGTGATTCAGAACTTATCCAAAAAAATTGAGTGTACTGGGGACTCTTACAAATACAATTTTGTAAAAAAAAAAAAATCAGAAAGGCCAATTTTACTCGAAATCCATAAACGATATCAAAATTTTGTAAGAGGCAAAAAATCTTCTAAAATAGTGCTTAATTTTAAAAATATAATATAATTCTGTCGTTATTGGCGTATATACAAAAGAGTTACGGGATAGCCAGTGGCGCACAGGCACTAAAAAGAGAACATCCTGTATTCTCACCAAATTCTATATTTACATTGCCCTTATATAAAAAAAATATGTATACCAAAATTGACGTTTCTAAGAAAAACAGTTTTCAAATTATTTGAAAAAAACTAGGTTATCTGTTCTATATTTATACACTTTTGTATATAGGTAAGTTAGGTAAGTCTTGTTTTTATCCAAGGAACCTGTGGTTAAGCGTTGTCCATCCTTTTCAGAGACACCCTGTATAAAAAAAAGTGGTAAAAAAACAATTTTACCCTTTTTTGTTAATAACTTTCGGAGAGACAGAAATAAATAGAATTTTGCAAAAACTATTGGCCCCACATCGCCCATCTTTCGCACAGTTTTGAAGAACAATAAAACTAGTAACTTTTAGGCATATCTATAAAATTCCAACAAATAACAACCAAGTTATGGCTAATTTAAAAAATGCTGTTTTTCCAAGATTTTTTTATGTTTTTTTAAACAATTTATTCGATTCTAATCTATCAGGCGCCATTTTGAAGGTCTTCTTATTGCGCACATTTCGTCTGTTGAATATTTTCCTTTAAAACCAATAGTTTTTCCAATATATCGGAAAAACTGATTTTCGACCCAAAAAAACCATGTTGCTAATGAAAAAAAAATGACTCACGAGATGAGAGCCTTCCCCTGCACATTTCAACAATAAAATAGCGACGTCAATTAATCGATGTTCAAATATTATAGTGACGCGACTATTAACTTAACTACTCGTCGAATTTAAACTAGATGTACACTTTAAAGTTTTGCATTCTATTCAAGAACTGGGAAAACTTTCACGTATTGTCGGTCATTCTTATATATGTACGGATAATGATGCGGCTAAAGCATTTCATGGAGAAGAGCTGTTTATTCTTTGTCGAGGACTTCCACACAACAAGCTAACTTTTAAAAAACATGTTAGTATTTACTAGCGTTGGTAGATCATCCAGTTACGAAAAAAAACTACTATATAACTGTCTTTATTAACACTTTTTTAAACAAAATAAGCAACGATGGTATAAAAATACGATCACGTAGTTTATTTAATTAAACAAAAAAACAAAAAAACTGTCGAACGGTATTCATGGCTTGCTGGGTTTGTAAAACATTCTATTGGATATTTTAAATTAATTTAGAACAATATTCCAGTAAAATCAACGTTTTAGTTTTTGTAGAAAGGGTGGATATTTATATGTAATTTAAATCTAAAGGATGAAATTTAGCCCACGTCTGCTTGATTGTTGTGAATGTACGCAAAAACTTATCAAACTATCACGGTGTGATGAGGTTATGCAAAACCGTCGGTAACCTTACAGAAAATTCGTGATAAAGAGATTAAGACAATATTTGAAAGGTCTCGAAAAAAGTTTTCATCTAAATGAACGAAAGAGATTTATACAAGGTGTTTGAGGTTCATGTACATGTACTTTTACTTTCATCGCTAAAATTAAATAGCATTTCTTTGGATATTTTGTAAATATTCTCAAAAATTTATAATTTTAAGAAATGTTTTTGGTAACGCTGTATATAAAAGCTTTTAAAGTAAGTAACGTTGTAAACTGTTTATAAGCCATTCATCAAAATAAACAAGCAACATCGTATTTTGCAGATATTCACCGCCTGCAGAAACGAAGTCTAGATGGTATAGGTGGTGGAAATCTGATAGGCAGAAGTCTTGATGGAATCGGAGGGGGAAGCTTAATTGGAAGAGGTCTCGATGGCATTGGAGGAGGCACTCTAATGGGGAGGGGCCTTGATGGTATAGGTGGAGGAAATCTAATGGGAAGAAGTCTTGATGGAATCGGAGGGGGAAGCTTAATTGGAAGAGGTCTTGATGGCATTGGAGGAGGCACTCTAATGGGAAGGGGTCTAGATGGTATTGGTGGAGGAAATCTAATGGGAAGAAGTATTGACAGCATCGGAGGGGGAAGTTTAATCGGAAGAGGTCTTGACGGACTTGGAGGAAGTAGTCCAATGGGAAGGGGTCTTGATGGGATTGGAGGTGGCACTCTAATGGGAAGAGGTCTAGATGGTATGGGTGGAGGAAGTCTAATGGGCAGAAGTATTGATGGAATTGGAGGAGGTAGCTTAATTGGAAGAGGAGTAGATGGACTTGGAGGAGGCAGTCTTATGGGGAGAAGTCTAGATGGGATTGGTGGGGATGGTGGACTAATAGGAAGAAGTTTAGACGGTATTGGAGGTGGATCTTTGGTGGGAAGGAGTTTGGATGGAATTGGTGGGGGTAATTTGATAGGTCGAAGTTTAGATGGCATTGGAGGTGGCTCTTTGGTGGGGAGGAGCTTGGATGGTATTGGTGGGGGTAATTTAATTGGAAGAAGTCTGAATAACGTTAGAAGTGGAAAATGAAATTAAAATATGTGATATATGTGATGTATATTTCCGTAATAAATGATTCCAATCATCGCTTAGTTTATTTATTAAAATCTTTTTAGTTTGCAGATAAAGCTACTTTTCACAGTATTAACTCTTGGTATCTAACTCTAATGTAGCAAATAATTTTAAGGAAAAAATATTCTCTTGTTTCAAAATAGAATTACTTTCAGTAAAAACACTCGTCAATTTTCTAATCCATTCTTTAAGCATGAAAAAAACATAGATGTATATTTGTTCCACTGTCTTGAGTATGTGACTTTTAAAATATTTTAGAAAGAGAATCAAGTTCACTTGTGCTTGGAGGAAGATTTGGTAGAAGTTGTTTTCTACAAGCGGGAGGATGTTTAGGGAAAAGATCGATGAAAATACCGCAAATGAGGTAAGAAATCAAAAATATGTCCTTAATGCTACCTACCTACTATCTAATTGGTCTGTTCTCTAAATTGCTATCCAACTGCAGTCAATAATTTTTTGGAACCCACCTTACTAAAACTTCATTCGCATCTTAGTATGCCGAAATCTTCGGTGAATATTTTTAGAATAATTTTGTTACTTCATTATCACTTTTCCGACACTGTGATGTTCCAATTTCACAAAATTCATAAAATTTACAAAACAAAATAATAAACACATTGCAGCCAAACTTGACGTGACGCAAAATTAAATATTACGGCTAGGAAAATATTAGGTATATTTTAGTATCCCTCCCGTATTTCTCGAATTTTCCTTCAGACTTGCCTTACTGCAGTTTTCCTACCTTAGAAAAACAATTATGTAATTTGTTACCGTTCCACTTTGATTTTGAAACCATTTGTAAAATTCAATACAACTGGGGAAATCAGCTGTTTCGCTTCAACTTTTTTTCGATTTTCAGTCTTTTTAGGCCTTCCGAATGCGTGGTTAAAAATAATGACATTATGACTGAATCACCCTGTATGACTTTACCTGCACTCATTTAGTAGCAATTAAAAGCATGTTCATTTTACCTGCTCTTATGATGAAACAGATAATTTGAAAAATAGTTCTCCATAACACCAACTAAAACAACCCACTAAAATAATAATGTTATTTTAGCTTCAACGAAGAGATGCCATTTGATAACCAAGATATCAACGCCTTGCCCCTACAGAGGTTAACGGAAAATAATAACCGCTTCCAGTAAGTACAAGTCGTTAACACCAGGTGTCGGGAGATGTCTCGTTGTTAAGGGTAAAAGTATTGCGTGTGGTAAAGTTTTATATTGGCGTAAACATTTATCGGTTATTGTAGTTTGGGAAATAAGCAACGTTTAGTAATTTCTCTGTGGGAAGGGGCCAACTGCACGGAAGAAGCGTTTTATACTCCACCGGTCAGTAAAAACACAAAATAACTGAAGTTAATTAACGCCTTTACAATATTTGTATTTTATATAAATTTATTGATTTATATTCAAGCATTTTAATAATTGTATTGCTTCATTCTATAAATGAAGGTGAGAAAAAAGGCTAGATTTTACTTTGATTTGAAAGGTATTAACTTAATTCAAAATTTCTTAAAAACCCTTTCAAATGAAGTCAATGTTCGTAATGCTAAAAATCTAGGTATGCGAAAAATGTCTAATGTTATACACAAGATGATATTGAGGGAAACAATTATTTTACGAGCTACATGCCCCTAAAATTAAAACTGATAAATCCAAATATTATTAATTGAAAAGCACTTACATGTCATATTGAAAATTATGAAATAATTTAAATTTCCAAAGAAATATCTTTTATTTTCATTGTTCAAATCGCTTTTGACAAAGACAACACGTACGTAGATATAGCCACAATAAATAGATCTCAACAGTTTCTGCATTTCTAGGAATACTTTTTCAAATAACCTCCTTGGGAATGGGATAAACAAATATGAATAGTACAAAATTGGACATAAAGCACAAATCTTTTTAAAAATGAAATTTAGAAGTGACTGTCTAAAGTGTTGACAATTGCACGACTGATACGTAACGAAAAATCCCTAAATCTTGGCTTCACTAATATTAATGATTCGCTTACAACGAACAATGACAAAACGTTACGCCTACGCTTGAGATAATGTGATCGCTGATTGGTTGAATAGAATCTCGTGAAAAATTACACCAGTCACATCATGAAACAGAATGTTGTGTTTTAATATAATCTTAATCTTATTGTCTTAATTTTACATAATATTTAATTGCCCAACATGATAAAATAAAATCTGTTTCAAACAAAATTATTGGTCACGTGGCTTGCAATCATTTGTGAGGGCTTTGTATATGTCGCAGGTATAATGTTTATCCTTTTTATTAAAATTGTATAGTAATGAATTATATCCAATTTGTTTAGTCCTAATCATGATAATTTCTGCTTTCAGAAACGTTCCCGTGCTAGAAGAAATCAGCATGAAAGATTCGTCACGTGACGACTACCTCAACTACAAGAAATAATACTGTACTCAACCACGTAGTGATGGATTTCATAGTTTCATGGCCCTTTTCCATCCCTTGACGCGAGGCTGGTTCATTTTTGTTCAATCAGATAAAATGTTTCGTTGGGTCTGACTCAACGGAAGGAAAAAGGCCTGTCGAGAATGTTGTTCCCTATTTACTATTGCAATAAAACAAAAATCCAAATGATTGTACATCGCTTTTGTTTTTTAAAAAATAAAAAAAATTGGTGTAAATATGAAGATGAATAATGTATTGGTGTTATTCTGGCAGCACCTTTTTTCACCTTGATCCCATCCTGTGACGTCGTCAAAGGGAATTCCGTACCACGTAGTTAAATAAATTAGAAAATGTTTATGGTTTTTTAAGAAATGCAGGTAAGGTTATACAAACGAAATAGTAAAAATGTCACAAATTGTCGAAAAATATATTTGACGCAAATATAAAAATCAAGATAATAATTTCTCAACGTATGTTTGAAATTACATAGTTTCAATGTGATTATTTTATTTGTTTCTAAATGTACATCTTCTGCCTTTTGGAATAACGTCTCGTTTTAAACCCTGCGACTTAACTTTCTGTAAAACTTGCCTCTGAAGAATTTTTATAACATCAATGAGACTAAAGATGCAAAACCACGCATACAGGCAATATACTGAAATATACAAATCGTTTACTGCAACGGTATTTTGAATTCAGAATTATAGAACATTAAATTAATAATAATTTACTAAATGTTACTGATCGACTTACCTAAAACGAAAAATGTTATACTGATGTAAGCTATGGTAAAACCTAGACCCTCGTTATCCTTTTTCATAATTAAATAAATCAGTGACATATCCAGACAAATAAATAATAAGTAGAGAATGTAGAACCAACAAAATGGGTATATAAAATTTAGTTTGCACTAAAAAACATCAAATAATTGGTATATTTTCGACCCTTGGAATTAATTAAAATAATTCAATTAATTATACATATTTGCAGATAAACCAGTTGTTTACAAATCCTACCTGATAAGCTCCTATTAGAAGAAAAATACATATGAATATTTCAAGACTATAAAAAACTGCCAAGCCGATAATGTAATATTTCAAATCTGAAAATTAAAAAGGAAAATATCGATCTACATTTTCAATTGGTTTAGACAAGAAGAGATTAAATATTTGACATAAAAAATAATGTAAATACAGGGTGTTTCGGACAGAACAATGCTGTCTCTGTGCATATTTGAGAAATGAAAATGATGAATATAAAATCTTGTTTCATCGATCTTTTAAATAATATTCTTCCACGTGACGATGCATTATTAATAACCTTCATATATGAAACACCCTGTATAACGAGTCTCAAAAACACACAATAAATAACTTCATAATTAAAATTATACTGACTGTCGTATAAATTTATCCACTCAGCCAGATTTTCAAATATATATTGATTTTTAGTGACATCTTTCAACAAATCATGTAATTCACTAATACATTCTAAACCCCAAACCTGAAATATCAACCATACACTGCTCTTCAGCTGAAAGTATATTTTAAGGTAAGTATTTTCATAACTTCTTTTAGGATTTTATCACTATTAAATACTAAAAACATTAAACATGTCAACGGAAAGATTGGCTTAATTGTAATAAAGGAAAATTGTGCTAAAATACTCAAACGTTAAATAACAATAAATAAATACTCACTAGTGTTAATGTTCCTATTATAATAGCACCTAATCTTAAAGAGAACACAAAAAAGAAAGTGTGAAAAAAGGCCATGCTGTCTTTCAAACCATGTCTCTGGTATTTCTTTTAGTAAACATTAGGTACGTAATTCACTAGACAAATATTATTAAATTATGTTATGTATTCTACAAATTACTATTCTATTGATTTGATTTTATCATTTCGTTTTACACAATAGCAGTCGTTATACCAACAGATCTTATCAGAAATTATATTCATGTTATACATTATAACTGTCATAATGTAAGAAATAGAAAAATCAATTTATAATTTTGTTAAACTTTTTACGAAGTAATCACAGGAGAAATAATTAGTGTTACTAATATTACCAAGTATGTAGGTATTATTGTTTAAAGTAAATTTGTTTAAAATTATATCTTCAAATAAGAATTGGGTAATATTTTTAAGTTATGCAACTAATTATACACTATTTAATCAATGAGGTTCATCTAACCAATATGACATTTCTGACACAGTATTATGATTATGAATATGTGACCTAACCTCACATAATAAAATCTTTTTTATGTATTTTAAAACTTAAAAGCCTAATAATATATGACTATTAAATTAAAAAGCAATGTTACAATGTATGTGTCCATTGTATTAAACACCAACATAATAAACTAGAGTTGTTTCGTTGGTATTACATCTTATAATTAAAAAATGGATATTAAAGTTACTATTAATGATGTTCAAATGGAACTTGAGGTAGAATCCTATGAAAGTCCAAGTATCTCCAAAGCAACAGTTAATGATGAATCAGACGACAAAAGTGACGAAAGCGAAGATGAAGATTCAGGTAAAATAGATTCATATAAATTAGAAATACGTATTAAGTTACATGCGTTTTCCAGAACAAAAAGGGAAGAAAACTTTCAGGAAAGACCCTTCTAAATTATCGCCACACTTGAAGGGGCTCATGGGAGAAGCGAACCTCCGATACGCTAGAGGGGACAGAGAAATAGCAAAGAAAATGTGCTTTGAGGTTATAAGACAATCTCCAGATGCTTACGAACCATATTTAACTTTGTCACAGATGTACGAAAACACTAATTTGAGAAAATGTAAAGGTTTCTTGATGCTTGCCAGCCATTTGGCATCTAGCAACGTGAGCATCTGGTGTAGACTAGCAGAGGTTTTTCAACAAGAAGGCAACATTATGGAGGCAGTACGGTGTTACTCAAAAGCGATTAAATACGAACCGAAAAACATTTGGTTACATAAAAAGCGAATCGAGTTGTTAGAACACAAAGGTAATTTTTTCATGCAATTCAAGCAATACTTAAAGTTCCTTATTGGTTTATTTAAATGTAACCAAAAGAGCCTCATACAATGTTATTTTTTAATTTTAATATTGTTTCAGGTGACGTAAAAATGATTTTAATGTGTAAGCAAACATTGGCAAATAACATTCCCAAGAAACAGTATGAAACTGTACTAAATCTTGTAATGGAAGTGGCAAAGGAGCACTTTAAACAAAAGAACTATGCCAGAGCTATAGAAGCCCTAAAAATCCCCCTGAAAAGAATCCCCACCCAAGTAACAAAAGACGTTATAAATATGCTATTAGAACTACTACTATTAAACGAACGTTACTCAGAATGCTTGGACATTTTCACACAATTTTGTGGGTTTTCTTTTGATATCACCGTCACCGAAGAAAACAATATAATTGTGAATTCGTACTTAAAACCACCCGCCCTGGAAGTCGATTTGAAAATAAAATTCATCGTGTGTTTAGTCAAACTGAGAACGGAGAACCTCTTGCCCGATTTGATCGATAGTATGCTAACAGAGGACAACATTGAAGCGGTAACAGATTTATATTTAGATGTCGTTGAAGCTTTGATGCAAATGGGCTATTATCAAGATGCCCTAAAACTCCTCATACCGATGGTAAAAAATAGCACCCTTGCAGGGATTTGGCTGAAGTACGCCGAGTGTTTGGTAGGTTGCCAGATGCCCGATCAAGCCATTGAAGCGTACTTTACAGTTATGGCGTTGGCTCCCTCGCACGTAGAGCTCTTATACCCCCTTGCCATGCTTCTTCTGCAACAGGACAAGAAAAAGGAAGCCCTCGAAGTTCTTTCTCAAGACTTAACCACGAATAAACTAGATGTCGCCGTTCTAATCGAGCAAATGAAACTCCTTAAGCAGATAAACGACTGGGACAGCTACTGGAAGAGTGTCGAGTTGTTACTCTCTCGTCACTGCATCGTTTTGAAGAATCCCGAAGAGCTTCAGATTGTTTTAACGCATGCCACAGCCAAGGAGAAGGTGACCAGGTTAAAGAAAATAAGGAATTTTAGGGGCGATTACAGCGAAGTGGAAATGAATTATGAGAGCATTAGAGAACCTGGCATCGAAGAAGAGTATGGGATTTATAAGGACGTTTTGCAGCTTACCATTGATAGAAAAGAGTACAGCGTGTTGCAGAAGTTCGCTTTCATGGGGCTGTGTTCGAAGAGGTTCAATAAGTTTTTCGGTAAGTGATTAATTCTGTCGTATATAGTCTGTCCTTACTAATCTTAAAACACAAATTCTCAACGTTGATTCTAAAATTATTTTCAGATGAAATATTCCTCTTTGCACACTTTGCCTGCATATTCAACCGAGACGCCTTCCACGGTTACTCCCTGATTCGCGACATCATTCTAAAACATCCCCATAACAACTTGTGCTGGAACTGGTTCACTCTCGTCATTCAGTCCCCAGACGACTTGCGTCACTCCCGATTTCTAGAACGGTACCAATATAAAATCAGCCAAGACTATCGAGGACTGGTCATCGCAAACTTCGAGTTTTCCACGGGGAACTATGTTTCTGCCCTCAATTACTACATGAACGAGTTCAAGCAGACAAGGTCGGCATTTTCAGCTTTTATGCTGGGCGTTGCCATGCTTCAGATGTACATGCAACGCACCTTGGATAAAAACAAGAAGAAAGTTATCGCCGAAACTGTAACTTACCTGTTTTTGAATTATAGTAAGACTAGAGGTCCACTTATGGAGCAGGAGAGTTGTTATAACTTGGGCAGGATGTATCATCAGCTTGGAATTATGTATTTGGCAGAGTACTATTACAGAAAGGCCTTGAAAGTCACAAATGAGTTGATAGAAACGTATCCTGATATTTTGTGCTTGAAGAGAGAAGCAGCTTTCAATTTGCATCTTATTTATAAAAATTCAGGCAATTTTATTGCTGCCAGGAATATTCTAATGGTGCATATTGTTATTTAATTATGTATATTAAGTGTAAATATATTATTTTTTACTAAATTCTACGTTTATGTGAGATTTTAAAATTTAAAAATTCTGTCAGTTGTCAATTGTCATAAGTTCCTTCCTTAATCCTTAAAGATTAGTTCGCATGATATAAAACTGCCATAAATTCAGAACGGAACGGAACAGCCGTTCACTATTTGATTGGTCACAAAGACATATGAATTATGAATATTCTGTTACGTTTCCGTGCTATGCAGACGTGCCTTAAAATCCCACATAGAAAGAGACAGATAACGTTCAAAGCGGTTCCCTCTCCTTTTATTTTCCACAATTACAAATTTATTGGCACATTCTATTCAAATTATTGGTCTAGTAACTTTCATTTTATATCTAACAGTTACCGTTACTGTTTTATTTTCATTTCAATTTCAAATCAAATTTAAAATTGGTTTCGTTATTGTTGAGGTTATATTGCAATTGCTGTTTGATTAAAGTGATATATATTCTACTGGGAAGATATTAAATATAAATGAAAATGTCTAACACAATCGACATAGAAATTATCCTAAATGCGTACATGTAAGAAATCTTTCCATTAAAGGAATAAATCCTAATTTTTTTCTTTCAGTGCGAACATCTCTAAAAAATCTATTATCGACGTTGTCCAGTGCTATTTGGAAAAAAACAATGTCCGTCCTAACAGCGTGATAAGTAATTTTGATCACCCTATCCTTCACAATGATGTTAAAACTATAATCGTTGGAGACACCCCTAATTACGTGAGTATTAACTAGTTACAATTTTTGACTTGTTACACATTTACCTTCTAGACTAAGGCGTTTATAGACTTTAATACATTGGAAGTAAAATGGTATGTTTACAACTTGGACAACTATGGCCCTATGACACATAGTGAAACCGATGCAAACGATGAAGAACTTGTGTTAGCAACACACTTGTCTCTGCCTTCGGCCAGTCTTATAAATCTATGGGAAAATTTATATTACGATAACAACGTAAAACTAAACGTAAGTTGTTAAAAACTTTAAAAACCCAAGCTTATTTTAAATCGCTTCCAGTTATTGAAATATTCCCAAACCATGATGGAATTCTCCGACAAAGGAGTGGATTGCAACGTTGTTAGTTGCAATAGAGTTATCTTATTGCATGGGCCCCCAGGCACTGGGAAAACCTCTCTGTGTAAAGCATTGGCACATAAGTTAACAATCAGAATGAGTGAAAGGTTCACGTCTGGACTTTTGATTGAAATAAACAGTCACAGCTTGTTTTCAAAGTGGTTTTCTGAGGTACGTGTCATTTCTTGTAGTTTTTTGTTTATTGCTTACGTTTGAATCCTTTTAGAGTGGTAAACTTGTTACAAAGATGTTTACTAAGATCAAAGAGATCCTTGAAGACAACAACATATTAGTCTGTGTTTTAATCGATGAGGTAGAATCATTAGCACATGCTCGAGACCAGTGTGTTTCTGGTATGTTTTCAAATATTTTATTGTTCAATATTTATATGTTTTTGTTTGTAGGTAATGAACCCTCAGATTCAATTCGTGTAGTAAATGCAGTTTTAACACAGGTAGATCAAATAAAATTATATCCCAACGTTTTGATATTAGCTACTTCGAACATGACGGAGACTATTGACATCGCTTTTGTCGACAGAGCCGATATTAAGCAATATTTAGGCAATCCATCTGGACCGGCTATTTATAAAATTTATTATTCTTGTATCCAGGAGTTATTTAAGGTAAATAATATTATTTAGACTACTGTGTGTTTAATAGAGCGTTTTTAGGCACAGATAATTCGTGAGCAAGCATTGGAGCCTATAGAAAGTTTAGTAAGTGGCCAGGACACTGAATTTATCGAAGAATCTAGGCAACTGTTGAGAGTTTGCGAGAAGAGCTTGGGTCTGAGCGGGAGATCTTTAAGAAAAATACCGTTTTTAGCACACGCTCTGTTTATAGATAAATCGCTAGTGACTCTAACGGAGTTTTTAGTAGCTATGGAGAAGGCTGTGGAAAACGAACATGCAGAACGACACTATTTTAAGAATTTCAAGGTAGAGAAGTAACAAAAATATTTAGTGTTTGATAATGTATTTTAGTACTCAAATTTATTAATTTGTTAAAAGTTTTGTATTCTGTCTGAATAAATTGTTAAGATTTTTGAGAAATTATTTCTTACTACACGAAAGATTTTGCAGATTTTTATAAAATTTGATTGGTCGTGTCGTAGTGTAATTATTTTATTTAGCCGCAACACAATGTTTGTAAATTTTCGAAACTATTTTTATTAAATATGACAAGAAGTTATAAATATATTTTACATTCATAATTATGATGAAATTTTAAATGCTTAATAAATAATACATTCAAAACTAAAATAACTAAGAAAAAATTCACTCAACTTATTATTTTGCCGAAATCCTAGTTTTAACCTCCTTCAACTGGTAAATCTTCTCGATAGTCTCCTTCAGCTGTGTCTGCACATTCACTGCCTGCACAGCCCACTGTAAAGCTTGCCTGAACATATTTTGAGCGTAATTCAGGTTCTGAGGTACAAGGATACCAAACCACCTAATAGGGTCTTGCACCGTTTCTTCAGATTTCTGGGTTAAATGTAGCTCATAAGACGTTTGTCCAAAGAGTTTTTCTTCTTCATTGGAATACACTTTAGCTACAGCCATAAAATCCGGACTGTTCTCTGTGGGAAGTTGCAAAGAAGACACGTTATTCTGCCCCATTATGTACCTAGCTTTCGCTAGATGGGCCTCGCCCCCGCACATAGCATTCTCAGTGTTTAAAGTCAGTTTAATTTTTTCTTCCATGAGGGTGAGTGCGTCCAAAGTCAACTTATCCAGTGTGTCACAAATCCTGTCGAGATCTTCAGTATCCTGTGCCATTTCTGCACTTTTTTTTTGGTAGAGAACTGTTGATTTGACGTTTGAGGTTATGTTTTTATTTAGTTTTTAACCTTGATGTCATATGACCAGTAAGGTAAAATCGAATATCGATAGATGGCGCGGCGTCAGTCCGTAGTCCATATATAAAGTCCTTAGATGGGTACCACAATACCAAAGTTGCAAAATATATAGCTTACCTTTGAATTTGAAGCCTATTTATAATTTTTTACTTAAAAATAAACAGATACACATACAGACATTTAACAAAGCATGTTTTAAATGTTATTGTTACATTTTTTACAGAATTGAGTTTCATTGTCTTAATTCACTTGGAGTCTGTGCAAATCGGACTGATTTATCTTTTATCTATTGAGGTATTCAATTGATTTGATTATACGCAAGCATTCTTTTAATTATTTATTGCGATTGGAGAATCGACCGATCCAGTTACTAATAAATTTATTGATCAACGTACAGAGGATCTCTATCTTCTTAAACAAAAATGAGATAGCTTGTAACGCATATTTCCGAAAGTAGTAAGAAACGTTTTTGACAGATTTTGGACAGCACCTTGTAAATTTATAATTATTTTTTCGAAAACCTCAATGTCGTTCTGTTTTACAATAAATAAAGGTCTTTCGCATTCCCTCTGCATGCCACTGAAGTTATAAGTTGCACCAGAAGTCAGAATTTAAAGCCCGCACAAATAACTACATGTTTTGTTTGCAAAAAAACATTACTCCTACGCCTCTGGTTACCTGTTGATATATCATCTCGTGGTTCGTGACGTCACCGAACCATTCGCGAGGTCCAAGGTGGAAAGCTCCGTTACAGATGTCCCCAAAAAAGGCTTTGCGGGGGTTGGCCGGCGATCTGGGTGAATTACGGCTCTATCAGCCTGTAATTAACCACCTGTGGGACGCATTCAATCGATCGCACTCGCGAATATCTTGGTAGAGTCAGCCTGGCGCAAAATTAGTTAACAGGTTGCGAATCGCGGCGACACCGACGACCTTCGATCATGGCAACCGAGATTAATTTTGCGGATTTGCTGGAATCAAGCCAAGTTCAAGAGTTTTATTGCATATGCACACATATGAGTTTCGCCAGCTTAGAATTATCAAATAAAAAGAACGACTTTTACAAAGAACTGAACTGATGAGACCTGGTGTTTTTGTTAATACAATGTATTTAAAATGGGTATCTCTAAAAAATAAAAAAATCCTCTTAAACAGGGTGTTTTAACTTGATATTCTTGTAAATGGTTTTGGAATACCTATGTCCAAAACGTCTAAAAATAAATTAATTAAAATGTACTCAGTGATAACGCTTTTTATCCTTTGTAGACAAATATACCAAAATAATTCAGGGGCGGTAAAATGGCTGTGACCAAATAAAACTTTGCTCTATCTTTCTTGGTGTGATATTTTTTTAATTTTTTTAATTACTTATAAAACTTTTTTTTACAAAAAGTGTATTACATATATATAAAATGAGGAAAATCTTTGCTTGTAGGTATCGGTTTATAGTTTATAATAGGTAGGTACCATTGTCTTTGAATTTTGTATTGTAATAATATAAATAATGATGATAATTTTCCTGAATGGTCATTATTTATATTCTAAAGTAGAGATAAATTTGAAATACAAAGGGTGCTCAGGACCAATGAAACTCATGAAACCAAAAAGTGTTCAGATTTTTTATGTTTTATGTCGGCAAGTCGCTGATTACATGACTTTTTTAGAATCAAACGAAAAATTGTTTGTTTTGAAATTTTATATCGGTAAGTTGCTGATTGTGTGACTTTTTTTTAGAATCAAACGAAAAAATGTTAGGTTTTGAAATTTAACATCGGTAAGTTGCTGATTGCGTAAACTTTTTTTCTAAGAAAAAGGGCGTTCCTAGAGCTTGCAGTCCTAGGCTCCACCATAGGTTAATACGGCCCCGATGGCACTGACATATCCAAAATGTTAAAGTCCTTCCTGAATTAATAATAAATTTATATTTAATAGAATTAAACTATTTCTTTAGACATACAAAATTTATATACATCATATGATTGACTATTGTCGCATCTATGTTCTCGTTTGCCCTAAAATGTCAATTGACATGTCATTTTGTGCTAATAGTATACAGGGTGTTCCAGTTCGAGTGAATCTAACTTTAACCATAAATAGAACGTAATACGTAATTCAGAATTGCCTTATAAAGCAAGCGTCTAAGTCTCACCGTTTTCACTGTACAGGGTTCACAATGATTGGTCATTGGCGTAGAAGTTGGAGTAAAAAAGTCCCGCTTTACTACCCATTCCGACGCCACTGACCTACAAAAATTTGTAAATTTTACAGTAAATTATGCACACCAAATTTGAATCGATTTGTTACAAGCATACCAAAGATTTCTTAAATAATATAATTTTAATAACCGACCAATACGACCCTGTACATTGAAAATGGTGAGACTTATAAGGCAATTCTGAATTATTTATTGAGTTCTAGTTATGGTTAAAGTTTGATTCACTCGAACTGAAACACCCTGTATAAAGAAATCTATTACAATTTAGTAGTTTTGGTATTTCATATAGAAATAATGAGATAGTGTATAATGACTTGTTCAAAATAGAATTGTGAAAAATGTATTAAAAATTCAAGCTTATTAAGATTGGCAATTGGGATTTTACCCTAAATGGCAGTTGATTGTGGTACTTTATCAATATCATGTTCTCTAACTGGAATATTGGGGTGTTTGCCATGTATTTGTTTTTCTCATACCTTTATGTTGGGTGGGGTAATATTATTTATTTACGAGTACATCGAAATCCTCGTAATCTGCAGGCATTGTTAGGACTCTAGATTTTCACTGTTTCTGTATCGTTTCGCCGCTTCTAGGACGCAAGCAGTGGACTCGCATGAAATTTTAAACAATGTTGTGAATGGCAAACAAGTTCAAGGTATCGAAAGGTAATGAATATGCTTGATTTCGCTTAAAAAAGGTTTTAGCTTTTTTTAGTTATCATTTAAGATTTTTCCTGAGCACGGCTCTGAACGCTTTCAAAATATGTATTGGAGGAAGTCATAACAGTATAAAAGTCAATACAGCCCAAAATATCTAACATTTTTTTTTAATCACTAGGTAATTTAAAACAGTTGTTTGTACCTAATAAAAAAATTATACGAATTTATGAAATGTTTTATTATTTCTAATTATACAGGGTGAGTCAGAAAGAATGGGTCAACAGTAAACTGGAGATACTAGACACCAAAATATTATGTTTGAGCTCATCATGCCTTATACGAATGTAGCTGGTTTAAGAAATACGGGGTGTTTAAGGTTTAAATTATATTTTGAAATTTCTCAATAATTGGGAAAGTTTTAATAGCATGACTCTGAAAATTGGTACTAATGGGTTTTTTTGGTGTGAGAATTATGAATTTGAAGCTTATTTTGACGTTGCTCCTAGAGGGCGCTAGTTCCGCCATATTATTTAGGTAAATCAAAACATATTTTTTTTATTAGTTGACCTATGCTTAAGAAAAGTTAAAAATCTAAAAGAACGTCCAATTCTACATAAAAAATATACTCTTGTTTAGGTCGCCTAACTTTATCGGTTTCTAAGTTATTTGCATTTAAAAGTTTCAATGTATGTATTTTGTGGTGATTTTTTATTCTCAATTATTGACAATAGTAATAATAACAAACCTTAAATCAAATGCTGGATGTGTCCACCACCTACCTCAATACATTTTACTATACACTCTCTTAAATGTCTCTGAATATTAAACAAAATGTCCCTATTATTTTTAAATGCATTCGCGGCTACTTGTATTTTCTGCCGCAACTCCTCAACAGAATTAATTTCTTCCCGATACACCACATCCTTCAAGTTTGACCATACTGAGAAGTCCAGAGGGTTTAAGTCTGGACTTCTCGGTGGCCAACAAAATTCACTCCCACGGCCAATCCACCGATGAGGAAAATGTTCATTTAAATACTGGCGTACCGGCAAGGCAAAATGTGGTGGCGCACCGTCGTGCATAAACCACATACTTTCTCTTAAAGCGAGTGGTACATCATCTAGAAGCTCGTTTAAATTATGTTGAAGAAAGTTTAAATAATGAGGTCCAGTTAGATTGGGTGATAATTCAAAAGGTCCTATGAAAAAACCAGAAATTAAACCACACCAAATATTCACCTTAAACTCATGCTGAAAATGTTTTTCTTTTACAGCATGCGGATTTTCGGAATCCCACAAATGATTGTTCTTCCAATTGAAAACTCCCCGTCTAGTAAATGTCGCCTCATCGGTAAATAGAATCCTATTGAGGAAATCTGGGTTTTCCATTTGCATATTTTGTACAAACTGAGCAAATTGTAGGCGAGCTGGTAAATCTTGAGGCAATAACTGCTGAACCGGAGTATAATGATATGGATGGAGCATTTCTTTTTTCAAAATTCTACAAATGGACGATTGGCTTACCCCCGTTGCCGCACTTAACCGACGAGTACTCATACCGGAGTTTTCTGAAACACGAATTAAAATTTCCTCTTCTTCATCGACTGTGATCGATTTTGGAGTACCATGGTTACTTTTTGGTCGAAAAGATCCAGATTCGCCTAAGCGGTTGTAAAGATTTCTAAATAGTTTATAATTAGGTTGCAATCTATTTGGGTACATGTGTTCATATCTTCGGGCCGCCGCATGTCCATTAAAATTAGCCTGGGCAAAAACACAAATCATATCACGCATCTCACTGTTTGAAAAATTATTATGTCGTGGCATTTTTTGAGCACTAACTAACAATTTTGAACGAATAATAAAATCACACGCATGCAAAATACGCTAATATTTATTGACATGAAAATTTGACACAAGCCTACTTAGAAAAGAAATAGCAATATCGACGCTTGAAAGAAAATCACCACAAAATACATTGAAACTTTTAAATGCAAATAACTCAGAAACCGATAAAGTTAGGTGACCTAAACAAAAGTACACTTTTTATGTAGAATTGAACGTTCTTTTAGATTTTTAACTTTTCTGAAGCATAGGTCAACAGATAAAAAAAATATGTTTTGATTTACCTAAATAATACGGCGAAACTAGCGCCCTCTAGGAGCAACGTCAAAATAAGCTTCAAATTCATAATTCTCACACCAAAAAACCCAATAGTACCAATTTTCAGAGTCATGCTATTAAAACTTTCCCAATTATTGAGAAATTTCAAAATAAAATTTAAATCTTAAACACCCTGTATTTCTTAAACCAGCGACATTCGTATAATGCATGATGAGCTCAAACATAATATTTTGGTGTCTAGTATCTCCAGTTTACTGTTGACCCATTCTTTCTGACTCACCCTGTATAGTGGTAAAAAAAAATATTGGATATTTTGTGCTGTATTGACTTTTATACTGTTATGACTTCCTCCAATAGATATGAAAGCGTTCAGAGCCCTACTCAAGAAAAATTTTAAATGATAACCTTTTTACAATAGTAATATCATCTAATTCAGAATTAAAAATCACTTTAGATTTTGTCATAAAAATAGCAGCGACGTATTTAAAAAAATTAAGCTGATGATGGTCCCTCGAAGACGAATTTCGGGTTTTTCCGGATATCTCCGAATATCTTCCGTTTCAAAAGGTCTCCAAAATACCATGTTGTAATAATATTAGTAAACAAAATACCCCTCTTATTTCTCCCTACCGCAATTGTAACATGAATGATTAATAGAAGGTGCCTATAATAAATTAAAATTACCTGAATCACACCAAATTTCGCATTGCTGCACTGCATTGTTAGGCCATTTGTTGACAACTAAATTTATTGCCAAGGCGCCCGGTGTGGTTGTGTTTGTGCCGCGTTTGCCCGCACGCTCATTCTTCAACTGGGCGGCCAGACCTGTATATGTATGGGTATGGCTAAATAAATATGGGAACAAGTTTTTCGAATATTTCAATGCCGAGTTACTGCGTGCAATTTTCTTGCTTATATTTTGCATTTTTTAAATAAATTAAAACAACTTTATTATACTGAACACTGGTTATAACCAGAAAAGTCGGTGCTCTCAAAAACTTGGAAGAAATATAAAATCTCTGTAACATTTTTTTTTAGTCACCTTTATAGTGATTGCTTACACTAACAGATGTCGCTAACTTCGAGAATTTCGCAATACATTCGCTGTCACCAACTGTGTATAGCAAAAAAAAAATTCGTCTACTGTGTATATGTATTGCAAGATAAAGTAAAACATAACTTCGTCCGGCGCAATACGAAAAGGAAACGTGGATGTGTCGGTGCCTGTTATTTAACTAGTTATTTTTATTTTAAGAGACAAGATTGCACAGATAGTACCGGCAGTGGGCGTCTCCTTATTGTTACGAAATTTGCATGTAGTAAATCAATGTCGTAACACCCATATATCCAGCTTCTAATTTGGGGTAAACCGCTTAAAGCCTCATATAATAAACAGTTCTATTTTTATTATTGTTTTAACGCATTACATCACCGTGTACCACACGAGAACCGCCCATCTTTTTGCGGTTTTATTAATTCATCAATGTTTATAGCACACGCGGCTGGTATCGTTCTTGAAGTGGACACAGATTTATGGAAAAAGTGGGCTAAGGCTAATTGTATAATTTAGCTTCATTTGAACCAATTTCGACGAATCAAAACGGATTGTGCTAAATCAGAAATTATATGTCGGTACTATCGTTACGTTCAAATTACTGAGTAGCATTGTTAGCTTATTATATTTGCCCAACGATTTGGCCTTACTATTTTACAACTACATCCTGTATTAGCGGTGCCCGTTTCAAATAAGTTAATATTTTAATGAAGGGGTCCGAACTAAATAAGTTGGTCACCGAATTCTTGAAAGTAAGAAAAAAAAGTAGTTTCTGGGATGATAGTGATGAAGAAAGTTTATCTAAACGTCTAAAGATAAACAAATGAAAATTTATTTAGATATTTAATTTTTTAATCTTTTATAAGTTAAAAAGGAGGCTAAGTGATTTTTTTTTACTTATTGAGGATTATAAGATTTATTATTTGTCATACAACAAAACATTTTAACATAATCAGTTTTAGAATTTTGAGAACCAACTGGTCTAAAAATCAGTCGGTGTTTGAATGTGTTTGTCTCATTCGCATAAAATTCTACCCACCTTATCTTTTTTATCTTTCTGTCTGGGAAAAAATTGTAAGGAAGACAGTTTTAGGAAATTTTTTTGCGATTTTAAGGCAATAAAATATTAAAAAAGACAATTGCCTGTTCCATTTCGAAGATATAAACCAAACTTTTGTTTTTTTCAAATGAAATACCCTGTATATTTGTCGTTTTTTGAATTCCTGTCTTTTTTTATTGCAATGATATACAGTGTATCCCACCGAGAATCGCCGCGATCGATATCTGGAAAAGTACTTATTTGATAAATTTGAAAATTTGGCAACTTATCAGTCAGTGGGGGAAACGCAACTAAAATATTTTCAAGGTCATAACACTCCCGGTTATACCGGAAGTCGACACCATATTCGTTATTTTAAATGGAAAACCCTATAAATTTTTGCATATTTGGATTCTACTTGAAATTTTAAGGTCACTTTGTATAACAAACCTAGTTCCTAAAATTTATAGTTTTTGAGATATCGACATTTTCATGAAAAATTTGACAGGTGCAAGGTTGTGCGGGATCCTTTGTATTTTATTCCAGCAACTAGATATCAATTTGAGATTCGGTATGTGAGTAGAACACGTATGGAGCAACCTTACACAATATCCATAAATTAGAAAATATGATACCGAGTGTTTAATTTTCGACTGTACTTTTTGATAACTTCAAAGAGTTATAACTTTGTTAACTTAAATGGAACACCCTGTATTTTTTTGGCCTATCTTGTGCAGTAATTAATTATCTTTCACGTGATGTAGGCATTGTAGGGGATGTGGTCACAACTTTTAGAGATAATTGCAATTGTTTACTTTTATCTTTATCAATTTTTATATAACTTTATAAACGTGATACATTTGCAGCGCGATATCCAGACAAACAAAACCCCTAAAGCAGAGTATAGTAAAGCGTCTGGTAGAAACTTTTTGACATTTCGACTCTGTCATAGTAAAACCAGACAGAGGAGTATCTGTTGTTGATAGCTAAAATGTCGAAATTTCAATATTCTAATTACTTCAGGACATTTCCAACTACATATTATGTGAATGAAGCAAACGGTTCGCAAATTTCAAAAATTTTCTGTCAGACGCTTTACTATACTCCGCTTTAGGGGTTTACTTTGTTTAGATATCGCGCTGCAGATGTATAAGGTTCTTGATATTGCTTTGTTACTTTGTCCGTAAATAATAAACAAATTAAAAAAATCTCATTACTAAAATGTTACTACACACTATAAACTACAAATAATAATTTGACAGTTCGTTGTTTAATAGTTTGATTGTCAATAACGATTGTTCGTACTCATAGACCTCTTGATAAAATTATGTCAAAATTAAAAAATAAAAGTAAAAATTGCAATTATCTCAAAAAGTTGTAACCACAGCCCCTACATGCCTACATCACGTGAAATATAATTGATTACTGCACAAGATAGGCCAAAAAAATACAGGGTGTTCCATTTAAGTTAACAAAGTTATAACTCTTTGAAGTTATCAAAATGTACAGTCGAAAATTAAACACTCGGTATCATATTTTCTAATTTATGGATATTGTGTAAGGTTGCTCCATACGTGTTCTACTCACATACCGACTCTCAAATTGATATCTGGTTGCTGGAATAAACTACAAAAGATCCCGCACAACCTTGCACCTGTCAAATTTTTCATGAAAATGTCGATATCTCAAAAACTATAAATTTTAGGAACTAGGTTTGTTATACAAAGTGACCTTAAAATTTCAAGTAGAATCCAAATATGCAAAAATATATAGGTTGTTCCATTTAAAATAACGAAGATGGTGTCGACTTCCGGTATAACCGGAAGTGCTATGACCTCGAAAATATTTTAGTTGCGTTTCCCCCGCTGACTTTGATAAGTTGCCAAATTTTCAAATTTTTCAAATAAATACTTTTCCAGATATCGATCGCGGCGATTCCCAGTGGGATACACTGTATACATATCATATATTTGCTTTGTTTTCACAATATTGTGATTTACAAACAGAATATTTTTGTGTGATTGACGAGCATTGACGACAAAAAAAGGAGCAATCATTTGTCATTAAGTACCCCCGACGCAGATACAAGCCCCTAAAGGATGCCCCTGAAAATCCATATTTTATAATAACTTTTATAAATTGATCCATGAAAACAATTTGGCTTATTTGGTTTATCAGGGACGGACTAGCTGTAACACAGTAATTCAATAAATTTTTTGACACCCTTTACGATAAAGGCACAAAAATTTTTAGATAGCTTGAACACTAATCTAAAAAAAAGCACTCTTGGTTGATATCGATAAAATGAACCGTTTTCGAGAAAAAACTATTTTTGTTTATAGTCGAGGAAATAAAGCACTGAATCTCCGAAAATTTTCTATCAAGTCGTGTCTAGATGAGGTTTTTTGCATTCGGTTTCTAAAATTATGTGAAACAAATGTAGCAACCTTGTATTATGTTTATCGGCCAAATTGCATTTGTGCATCCGGAAAGTCACTTAGACAAAATTCATAACTCGGTTAATAATGCCTGGAATGGACTCAAATCAGGTTCCTGGGGGTTTTCGAGGTCGCTGATCCCGAATATGACCTTCAAATTGGTCTATCTCGAATCTGACATCGGCGACCACCCCCCCGGACACCTGGTGCACCGGAACCTGGACCTTGAAATCGGCGTCATCGCCAGAAAAATCAATAAACAGTGAATTTTCAATATATTTCAATAAGCGTCATATGATGATTTCGAGAAGAGCGCCTCGAAAAATCTCCTAATGCGATTTTCGGCTCGTTTACGCGAATTTTACAGGAAAACTCCCGGAGATGACGTCCATGTCCAGGTTCCGGTGCAACAGGTGTCCGCGGGGTGCTCGCCGATGCCAGATCAGGA